TTTTAAAGCATGAATCCTAATTCTCTGAGACAGAAGATAGGACAAGTTTGAACAATTTCCTAGTTGCACTGATACTTTGGTTTAGCAAAAGATAACATAGTTCCACTCTGGCTTTCTTCTTTTTTGATCTGCTCACTACTGTTCCTTACTTTGCAGTATAAAAAGGTGTGATGTGAGATTCTCAGATCTGATTCACTGTGTCCTGACAGTTCATAGAAGTGCAAAGCATAGGAAAGCAGAATCTGGCAAACAGCTGGCACGTTCTGTTACATTTATGGGTTTTTGTAAGATTGTCTGCCAGAAATGACCATACTCAAAAAAGATGCTCAGACAGAAGTTTTTGAACACACTTCTTGCAGAAACAAAGTGTTGATACTTTGTATCTTTTACAGGAAGTAGAATACTTTGCTATGCAAGTTGCCCACCATAAAGTGTCTTGAGACATCTTATGGAAGAGGGAGTTTAGTTTGAGAGCTGCTTGAGACTTAAGGCCAAAAGCTTAAGAAGAGGAATTGCGATTAAATATTTTTCTATAGTTTAAATTAATGAACTTTATTTAGCATTGGAGAAATTACCTTTGTGTTGTCAGTAAGCCTTAGAATAAGGCTGGTTCTGCTTCGTAATGACAAACTTTTTTAATTTGAACTGAGCATATCAATTGAAAAGCAAACATGTTTTGCAGACTTTTTTTTTCCCTGTGGTGGCTCCTTGCCTGATCTTAGGTCTTGGTTGGCAGCTGTTCATAAACATGGCATTCTCTAAGGCATATGTTCATGTTATCTGGGCCATCTTGTGATTGCTCTTTGCTAAAGATCAGTAGTATTGCCTTTGCTGTAGAAGTAGTTGATTCCTCCACAGCTAGCACAAAGCGAAGAGCAACGATGGGTTGGAGCGAAGCAGCTGTGCAATGAATGCTGCTTAGGTGTGGTGAGCTGTGAAAGTTTACCTTCCTTTGGTGGAGGAGTTGGTGTATATGTGGGAGAGAGGAGAAGCTGGCAGTCGTGGTTACTTTCCTTCATTTTACGTTAGTTGAGACAAAATTTGTCAACTCTTTATCTTGACACATGCTCAGGGTGATCAATTGAAATGCACGTTGTGTTGCATTAAAGCCCGTGGGAAAGAATGAGAACAAGAAATAAGATGCCTGTCACCTAAGAGAGCAGCATAAAACTTTACTGAATTGAAAATTCTGTGGAAGTGCTGAAACAAAGCCACATTACTGTCAGAAATGTACTCAATGCATACATAGAGAACATGTTGATCTGTAGGCAGTAAGTCCTCCTAAGCAGCCTGCAGGTTAGATCTCATACAGTTAGTAATCTTACTTTGTGTATTGACACTAAGAAAGCATCATAAGAAAAAGCTGAGAACTTCAAAGTACTGAGCTTTTTTAAACCTCCAACTGGAAAAAGTAATGCTTAGAGCTAATTATTCTAGGTTTTGGGAATCAGTTGGCTTACAATTTCTGGTTTGGTGGTTTGGGGTTTTTTTGGTTAAATGATTGCTTTTCCAATAGTGAAAAGTAATTGGTTCCATGTTTGGACTATGGATAGATTCCAAAAACAAATTTTAGAGTTTAAGTTTTAAATCTTGTCATTAATTTTATGGGAGTTTTGGCTTTTTCTTGGTTTTAAAAACAGAGAATAATAATATTGAAGAGTAAGCTACAACAAGGTGTATGTTTTTAGCATCTTTTTGATGTGTTCATTTTTTGATCCAATGTTGATAAACTAGTATTTGTAAAACATTTGAAACTTTGGAGTAATTTGTACTATATGAGAAGTCTTGATTTATTATAGAGAGTTTGTCACTTTGGGGACCCTTCCACATTATGTGTTCTTGAGAAACAAAGTAGAATAACGTCTGCTTTCTCCTGTGAGGGTACTGCAGCTACTTAGAAGACTGCAGGAGGCAGTGCTTTTTGTTTAAAAAAAGATAGGCAATGTTTTTAATCAGCAAGTAAAATTACGAGAAATTAAACAACTTTTGTGTGTTGATATGTAACCTCATGAATCACTGCAGGGCTTGGATCTTTCATTTGAAGATTGAGTTCCATTATAGTGGAGCAGGTGGGTTTTGGAGCAGTTTTGAATGTCTTGTAGGTAGCAGTAGTTCTCAGAGGTCTGAGATTAAACAGTTTCCCTTAGCTGAGCAACCAGGTAACTTCAGGAGGTTACCCTTTTCAGAAGGTCTGAATATAGCTACTCCTTACTTGTTTTTCAGAACTACTTTTTGTTTGAAGGGAAAGCAGCTTGTTAGGCACAATTGTATGAACTGACTTTACTTTGAGTTGGCCTCTTGAACATTTGCTGTAAAACAGGTCAGAATGTATTTGTAATAAGATATAATTCTGGGTTTAAAGCTGCTGTATTCCTGTTTTTCTTTCCTATTTTTCAGTTTGTATATCACCAGTAAGAGTTGGTGGTTTGAGGGGGCTTTTTTTTGTGTAGAGCTGGGGGTGTCAGGGTAATAGAGGGCAAAGGAAGTAGGGGAAATGTTAAAAAAAAAAAATTCCAAAAAAGTATTTGACTGTAACCTTTTATTGTTGCAGTGCTAATGTTTTTGATGTGCTTTGTGCTTTATAATAAAAGCTGGATCTTAAAGAAAAAACTGTGCCCTTTTTAGATACAGTTTTATCACTCTGCTGTATGGGTTCCTGTGCCTGTGCAGCAGTTCATTTCAGCCTGTTGGCTCTTTATATTGGTATCAGAAATACCTATTCCTTTGTGTTATTGTTATAATACTAGGTTTACAGAAATTTATTTGACAAGTGGGAAAATGTCCACCCATTGTAATCATGTAACTTCACTTCCAGATCTTCAGTTCATTAGCCAACTTGGCTAAAACCTATAAAATGTACCAATTTTATTCACTTTGAACTTTTAGTAGCATTTCTGTTGTTGTTGGCAAGGTTTCCAGTGTTAGTATTGTGGTCCTCTGAGAGTATATGCAGCTTGCAAGAAATCTTACTGGTATGCAGTCAGTAATACCCCAGGCTTTGTATTATGCTGTATTGTGCCATAATAGTTTTATGTCTCTTTCCATTTGACATCTAAATCAGTAACCTATCAGTAACCTATTGGAATCACTATTTTCCTTTTTAAAATCCTCTGTTTTCAGACTGCACATGAAAACAAAATTATTTTCTTATTAGCAGAGATTAATTTGAATATTAAAATTATTTTAGCTGTCTTGGGGAGATGATTTTACTGCTCTTTTCTCCACAAAAATTTTTCTTTTGAAAGAAAAATCTGTTGTGGATGAGTGGAAGGTGTGATGGCAGTAATGCTCTTGCATCTTTAAGCAAAACAGTGTGTGTAAACCGGACTTTGATTGTATTAGATTGAAAAAAAAGGCACGATATTGGTTCACTTATCACTTTTGCAGGAGTAATATACCCTGTGCATCATCTGACTACTGTTTCTTTCTCTGACTTTGTGGATTTTACTTTGAGAACTTTTAATTACACTATCCTGATTCATTGTCTTTTGCCTTTTTTATTTATTTAAATTTGTTAAAAGATATATAACTGGGGAGAATCGAGTTCTTTGTAATAGAAGATTAGATGTCAAATGTAAGTTGATATGAGAGTGTAGCAAAGGTGCTATGTTGACACTGGCATGAATGTGATTGTATCTGTTCACCTTTCAGTTATTTCTAAACTTGTTTTGTCTTCAGCATGGCCTGTTGCAAATCCCAACAGAGAATATTCGTATGTTAAAAACAGCTTTGGGTCATAGTGTCAGAATAATCTTGCAATAAAATGAGAAGTTTTCTGCCAATTTGATACGATAAAAGGCATTTTTGGGCTCTGATAAAGTTGAGGAGCCAATGCATGCATCTGGATTGCCATTTTCTTACCAATTCTTCCCTTTGTTGCAGTTGGTGTGCAAATTTACAGGAATTACATCACCATTGCTTGTGAAGGTCTGCAAGGTGTTTTTTTCTTGCCACTTATAATCAGTTTTCCTCATTTACAGATGAGGCAGCTGTTAGTACAGATTCTTTCTTCATCTAGATACTGAGTGGGAGAGTAAAAGCACTATCTGCTGCAGATATGAGAGACTGTAACTATTTGATCATTCTGTTGCTACTATTTGAGCTTTTATGGTTAGACACAAATCTTGCAGAGAAGTAAGTAGGCCAAATTTGGTGGTTTTCATGAAGTAAGGGCTGTACGCAAGGTGTAGCTAGTTTCTGGAACATTAGAGAAATCCAGTAAAAGGAGGTGAACATCCAAAAAGAAGGTTAGACAGCATTTATTTGTGCTCTTGCCTTTACTGGTGTTTTGTATTTCCTGCTTCTTTAATTTGTTACCTGGTTGCCTGGCCTTCCATTTCAGTGGAAACAAAATAAAACAATCAAAATCAGTCTTAAAATAACTCCGGAGGTGTAAACCTGCAATAAAAGTTATATTAATCAGAGATGAGTAAAAATACTGCTGAATTCTGCTTCAAAGTAAAATAACAATAAATTCTTAATGTATGCAGAACCATAGTGTGTGAAGTATTTAGTATATTTTGAATAAATTTATTAGAAAAGTTTGGAGATTTTCATGGGATGTTTCTATTTTCTTAGTCTCAATACAATTCTTCATACACTTAATAAATTTTTCAGTTAAAACCAGGATACAGTGTTCTCCTGTCCAACCTTCTCTCTTTTTATCCCC